CTTTAAAAGAAAAACGGCACTTACCTTAATGAGACAAGCAAGCACGTTCGTGTCAGGAACACTGTCGATGGAAAGTTCACATCCTAATGGATTCGCCTCAAGCTCATCTCGCAGCACTCTCTTTTTCTCTACCGAGCCGCATACTAAAACAGAATCAACTTTTTCAATTGAAATGTGGAAGCATTGGGACATCTATACCGTACTGTTACCGTAACCCCACACCACCTTTTCCTATTCTTTTTTTTTTTGAGGATTCCACAAGCGCAGTAAGATTTAATGCCACATTAAAGCTTGGAAAACAGAACAAAGATGGAAAAAAATAAAATTAAAAAAATGACGTGGATCACTCTGCACGATAATGTCTTCTGTCCGATAATTCGATAAAAAGCGCCAAAGAAACTCACAAATGTACAATCCATTACAGTCGACTCCACGTCTCTCGATCTCTTGTATAAGCCGAGTGAGTGCGATTGGGGTTTCCCGCCGTTCCCGAGACAACAATCGACCAAGAGGTACACCAAAAACCCTAAAAAGCATCTAAGATGCAGCATCTTGAAACGCTCCGTCATCGAAATTTTTTTGCTTACCCATCCATTCTAGGATTGACAGTACGTCGAAACACCGTTCTCATGTCGTGAAATCCTATCCGCACAATTAACTGCCCTCGGGGTTCCAGATTCAACGCAAACATTCTATCTCCATTTAACTGATCGACAATGAACGCTTCCAGCAATTTCAGCGACCCCTTGTGACACAATTTATGCCTAAAAAAGGGTTCAATAGGTCAAGATCAAAATAAAAAGCACAGATAACTGAATGAGCAAAAAACTATGTACCTAAACTGCGGATGCCAAGAGTAGACGAAGAAATGTGTGACTGTAGCGTTGAAGACATCGATATGAAACGTTTCTCGCCATCGAAACCGTTGCTCTGCCGTTGACACGCCGGTTCGTGCTCTACAAATTTTTACTTTATTGGCAGAGCATAGCCAAAACAAAAACAAGAAAAAATGTTCCATAGTGGACGGTGAAAAAAATTGGGGTGAAAATCAGCTCACCGATGTTGTTCATCAACTTCCAATACACAATACATTTCTTCAGTAACAGCTTTTTGTTTTTCTGGAATTTTCAACCCGCGACCTTCCAATACCTGAAATGACAAAGATTAGAATAAAAAACCTTCATTTGTGGAAAAGAATAGAATGCTTCAAATTATACACTCGCATTCTCTATGTACGAAAAACCAAAAAAACGTTCGAATTTTTGGGAAAGAAGTGAGTTGTGCAATTGCACCAAAGTGAATAAAATTTGATGTAAACAACAGAAGTATGGACAGCCCACCTGCACAAAAAGAATACCCGTGAGACTATTGACGTTCAACCTATCCACATTAATACCTGGACCAGCTGCCCGTAAAGGTGCTCGCCTGAAAGTGGTAAACAAAAAAATATCGGAAAAAAGAAAATAGTTCAAAAGTCGAGACCAACAGCCAAAAAATCATTGCAAGGGAAAAAATTTTCGAAAAGAAAAACGAAAAATGATTTACCTATTCATCAGTGGCGATACATGGTATCGATCCAATACTGCTGAAGGACGATCCTGGGCTGCAGCATGTCGTGGTAGCACTGGTGAGCCGACAAGGGACTAAAATTCACCCAGTTTTGACCTTTTCCACACAGAAATCAAAAGCCTTACCTGCGCCATGATACTTCGACCAGGTAACGATGTTGATCGCTGGCCTCGGTTTTCGCCATAGGTGTGAGACCATCTAGAGGAGGTTGGATAAGAATCATATTTCATCCAATGAAACTGGATACATCGATGCTTGAGATGAAGCAAAAGAAAGAGTTGGAGGGGGGCCAAAATTCTCTCGCAAATCGCAAATCGTTCATCAAATCTTCCACAAATATACAAAAATAGACCATAAATGCACAAATACAAAACCCACAAGAAAATTAATTATGGAAAAACGAATCTTGCAAATCGTCAAAATCCCTCCTAAAATGTAACACTTCCCCCCCCC